GTCATCTGCTGTTTTTTAGAGCTTTTAAAAGAAAAGAGCGCTGAAGGGACACTTGCAATCAAGCCCACAGTATACAAATATTCCCTGGCTTTACTTTTGTTCACTTATTTTGTTTGTTTCAGTTCAGGATATAATGATGAAGTAAAATATAGGACTGGATCCAAATTAATAGCCCAAACCTGTACATATCTCCTCAGAGGTAAGTTCCACTTCTTCAGTGGAACTTACTCCTAGGATTGCAGTTTAAAGCCTTGGGCTGGATCTTCACTGCAGAAATAATGCTGTTTGACACCACTTCAACTGCCATGGCTCAGTGCTATGGAATCCTGGGATTTGTAGTTTGTTGTGGCACCAGAGGTCTTCTGACAGAGAAGGCTAAATATGTCACAAAACTACAAATCCCAAAATTCCATAGCACTGAGCCATGGCAGAATCTGTGGATATAGATGGCTGATTGTAATGTGCTACCAATTAGAGCTTGGATTTGTTGTTATTGTGTGCCCAAGTTACCTTTTTGGACTCTGAGACCAATAAATAAATAAATAAATAACTTTTTCAAGCTCAGTGGGGTGGGGGCATCTGTCGTACTTGAATATTTAATGGCCAATGCTCTGGGTATCACCCCTATATTTTCACATGGATTACATTGAGACACATGTGCAATTAAACTAGTTGGGTCCAATCATTTTCTTATACAAGTAATAACTTTTTATGGTTCAGGGTTCAGATCACTCCTCTTTCCATATTTCCACAAGTAGATAAATATTCTCTTTTCCATGCAAAATCAAATATTGAAATATTAATTACAAATTATTTTGCCATGCATAATTTTATAAGCACTGCTTGCATCATGCTTTTAAATCATGGAGATTGCTCATTTTAAAAGGAATAGGACACACCTCTTATCTGCCAAATGTCAGAGGCAAAATGTTCCTGGTTGCTTTTTAATTTTCCAGCAAGACTAATTAATGGTAATTTAAAAGATCTGTCCCAACAATAGCAGTGGCTCCTCACAACATAAAGGCTAAGAGCTATATATCCTAATGTTGTTAATAGCTGCAGGGGATGTAATGCAGGGAATGCAGATCCCATGCATTTGTTTTGTTTTTCTCCATGTATGCAAAATTTTGAGAAGACTGTAGTAATTATAATTCAAGAAATTAAAAGATACCATCTTCTCATTCACCTGTATATTAGTGGAATTCAAAGACAGAGCCATGTTAGTCTGGATCAGTATGCAAAAGCATCTTCTAGCACCTTGTCTGTCTCAGAGGATACCTGAATATTGGGTTATTTAAAAGAGGCAATCAAAACAGAAAAATTAACTCATTGACAGCTGAACAAACTTGTATTTCTTATTTTAAAAAAAACCCCCACACATCAAGTATTTAAAAATGATTTCCTTTTCTTCAAGTTGGAATTTTATTCATTAAATAAATAACATACTGACAGAAATGATTTTAGATGCTATATTGATTGACTTGCTAGGAGATGCTTATATATTTCAGGACCAGTAATTTTAAGTACTCTAAGTACAATGAGAGCAAGTTTGGCATAGTGGCTTAAGCATTAGACTACCACTCTGGAGACCCGGGTTCAAATCAGCACTCAGCACCCTTCACCCATCCACTTGTTTCATTCATGGAAGCAGAGAAAACTTTTTTTTGGACTACACCTCCCAGAATCCCCAGCCAGCATGGGATTTCAAGCTCTGTGCATTCTTTATATAGGAGCTGGGGCAGGTCAAGGTACTTTAAGCAAAGCAGTCTGTCTGGACTACACATACTTTGGGGGGTTGCAGACTGCCAGAAATAGTGCAAATTGAGTCCACTTTTAGGGTTAGGGTTAGTGCTAGGGAATCATGGGAACTGATTTTTTTTCTGAGACATTGAGCTTTCTCTGTCAGAGAGCTCTAGTGCCACAATAAAATACAGTTCCCATGATTCCCTAACCCTAACCCTAACCCTAAAAGTGGTCTCAATCTGCACTATTTCTGGCAGTCTGCAACCCACTTTGTGGCATGCTACTCCTTAGTCCTTTTAGAAATAAACACGTCAAAATTTCCCCAGAGACACCTCTAGTAGTAGTAAACTGGCTCAGAGAGGTAGAATGCCATTCAGGAGGTAGAATGCCTGTAGCCATACCGTAAGGCAAAAATTTGCAAAATTAAAACTTTTTCTTATCACTGTCCCTTCAGGAAGGGTCAAAATGGGTGATGATGTTATATAAAGCAATATTGGGTATGATTGCAATGATCAGTCCTGTGCCATTTGAATGAATTTCTGCCTGCCATGCTTGGCCATATGGTGTGTGAGTGTGTGTGTGTGTGAGAGAGAGAAATGTGTTATGGAAGGGAGGGCAAGTGGGAAGAGTGGCAGACAGGTCTAACCATCAAAGGTACTTTTGTGATTTTGACTCTGAAAGTTTTCACAATCACCTGTTTTGTTTTCATCCTTGTTTTGCTTTGTAGGATCAGATCAGGAAATGCTTGCAGACATCCTGATCACCAGCAGGAAGATCTGACTGGGTGCATGTAAACCAAAGGGCACCCTCCTGTGAACTTGTAAGCAGGGGTGATTTGATGGGCCAGCCTCAGCCTCCCCAGACCAAGAGGGGTTGTGTATTGTGCCATTAGACAGACTTTAGCAGCCATCTCAGACAATTCACAACTTCCATTGTTTGGAGGGGTTTCTTTGCCCTCCTCCTCCTCCTCCTCCATGCAAAATTCTCTTTCCGGCTTCCTGCAAGTTCCTCTGTAAAGTTCCAGGATCTGGGAAAGGAAACAAAAATGAGATAGGAAACAAGAAAACAGCTGTTTCTCTCTAGGATTTTATGAGGGGGTGTCTAAAACCAGCCAAAAACAGAACCAAGAAATCCGGAATCAGGCGATACTGTAGGAGGCTGAATGTTATTAATGGATGCTGTTGCTTATTGTCCTGTTTTCATCTCTGGTTTGAAGCAAACCTGGAAAACTTATTTATCAGAAATGACAGTCGGATTAGCATACACCTTATAAGCAACTATGCCTTTTCCATGTCATTTTCTGTTGCTTTAACCAAAAAAAGCCCTGCTGTTTGACTCCAGGATGAGAGAACAAACAAACAAAATTGTTGGAACTTCTCTTTTCTCCTATCTTTAGGCATGATACAGTGTTTTTGCTTTTTTAAAATGGGAGGAATATACCTTGAAACATGAAAAGCACTATGCCTCTAAGCATGTGAAGAGTGCCTTTGCCCTACCAGTGAATCATTAGAGTGGTGATGGAAATTATGTGATCCTCTGATGTTGTTGAACTGCAGTTCCCAGAAGCTTTTGCCAGCATAGCCAATGGCGAGGAATGCTGGGAGTTACAGTCCAACAACATCTGGAGGAGCGCATGATTTTCACACCCACACTAGAGCCTGCATGCATACTTCTGGGATGAGACAAATATTTTATAACTGCAAACTGATTCCCCCCCCCAGACATCTTTGAACATAACAACTTTTCTCCTCCCTCCAATGCCTGCCTACCTCTGTGTGTTGAAATATTTGAATATTTGCCCTGTAAATAACTACCCTCTCTCCTTTTTATTTCTGCATAAGGATACTCTCTGCCATGATCACAAGTTGATTTTAATAGTACAGATAGCTCCTGCCAAGGGAGTTATTCTCTGAAAAACTGGGCTTGTGTGAATTTAAGTAGATGCTTGTGATTTGGTGTTGATTTCCCTTTTTGCAGTGGCCAACATGAGGCAGCTTTTGAGTCACCTTTGATTCTTTTCCAGGAAGAAACTGCTGCTTTTCCTTTCTACCGGGGGAAAAAAAAACTAATGCAACTCAAAAGCTAGCCGGCCTTGACAACTGGGAGAAATCTGCATGGAAGCTTGCTTCATCTGTACTCCCCCTTGAATGATAGAATTCAAAGACATAGCCATGTTAGTCTGTAGAATCAATACGTAGAGAGATCTTGTAGTACTTTTGAGACTAACTGAAAGAAAGAAATTGGCAGCATGAGCTTTCGTAGACTTCAGTCTACTTCATCACATGCATCAGGCAATACCGTAGGAGGCAGAATGTTATTATGAATCCTAATGCATCTGAGGAAGTAGACTAAAATCTACAAAAGATTATGCTGCCAATTTCATTCTTTCAGTAGTCTCAAAGGTGCTACAAGATCTCCCCCTTGAATGATAGCCCCCAAACTTGGGTGCCCAAATGTTGTTGACTATGGGCCTTTGCAGACTGCTAGAAATAGTACAAATTGAGTCCACTTGAAGGGTTAGGGTTAGGGTTAGGGAATCATGGGAACTGTATTTTATTGTGGCACCAGAGCTCTCTGACAGAGAAGGCTCAATGTCTCAGAAAAAAATTCCCATGATTCCCTAGCACTAACCCTAACCCATAAAGTGGACTCAATTTGCACTATTTCTGGCAGTCTGCAAAGGCCCTACATCTTGAATCCCATTGTGGGAGAAAGGGGGATATAAATCCTTGAAATAAATAAAATAAAATTCCAGAATACATGACTACTTTGTCCTGTTGGCTGGGGCAACAAAAACATTCTTATTTAAACAAGCATTTAACACTTAAGCAAGGAAGGCTTTTAAATGTAGATGTATGGTTTATCTGTTATTAATTTTTGTATGTTTTAAAATCAGTTTGATAGTGTTTGAAAGTGTTTTAATGTGGTGTTTTTAAAATTTGTCGTGAAATTGTTGCAAACATTTGTAATGTGTCATGGAAGCTACGTTGGATCCCACCCTGGGACAAAGGCAGCATATAAATAAAGTAAATAAATAAAAATAAATAAACATCAAAGAACTCTTCAAAATGCTGTATTTATGCTGGGAATTCTTTCCACAGCTACTGTGGTTGTGTTTATTGCATACATATATTACTGCACACATTTAAGGAGAAAGGCTGCAAACTGTACTGTGAATATTCACAGATTTTACCTTTTGTATTTCATGCCAAATGACCCCAACTTTTTTGCCTTCCTCTCCTTTAACCATAGATACTGTCAGTGTGGTATGGTGGTTTGAGTGCTGGACTATGACTCTGAAGACCAGGGTTCAAATCCCAGCTTGGCAATGGACACCCATTGGGTGACCTTGGGCAAGTCACACTTTCTCAACCTCAGAGGATGGCAATGGTAACCCCAACTGAAGAAACTTTCAAAGAAAACCCATGATAGATTTGTCTTAGGGTCGCCAAAGTTGAAAATAACTTGAAGGCACACAACAAACAACAAACTGCCAAATGAGCATAATATTTAATGCACTGAATGAGGTAGACTCAAGTCCACATATAGCATTCATCTTAGAGTTCCCACATAAAAATCCTTATCACAAAGTCTGGAGATGTTATTTTGTTCCACATAAAAGTCTTTATCACAAAGCTTGTGATGTTGTCCCAGAATCTTCTAGTCATGTCCTCTAAAAAGCAACAGTTCCATGCTCTGTTTTGTTGCTTCTGTTCAATGCTGCTACTCTCTTTTCGTAGTGTGGCACTAATGGGAAGTAACATATGTCCCTCTCCCTTCCACATGGGACTTTTTCACAGATTTACCCATGCAGTGGGGTGGTAAATCCATTCTAGATTCTAGACAGAACTTAGCTGTTCAAGCATCTGGATCTTATTTCCCAAATAGGTGCAACACCTTGGATAGCTCCTTTAAAATCTGGACTAAAATGTAGAGTGTATTATGGCTGCTGCCACAGTGAAGAATTAATGCAGTTTGACACTACTTTAACTGTGATAGCTCCATCCTATGGAACCATGGGATTTATAATTTGTTGTGGCAGCAGAGGTCTCTGACACAGAAGGCTAAATATCTCACAAAACTACAAATCCCAGAATTCCATGGCGTTGAGCCATGGCAGTTAAAGCAGTGTCCAAATGCATTAATTCTGCAATGTAGATTCAGCCTGCGCCATCACAACATCTTCCTGTCCTCTACAATATTCTGACCTTTTTTTATATGATCAGTTGCTGAACAATGCACAAGATCAACATCCCACTTACTTGTTACCCAAATGCTCCTGTAGTGCAAACTGAAGAACAGAACGCCCTTGATGGAAGCAAAGGCCCTCACACATACATTCACACTGCCTTTCCATTTCAGGAACTTTTTCTAGAAATGTCCCTCTTCCTGCCCCTCCATGTAGCTTGCTGTAAAAACTCAAGATTTCTAGAAAAGCATTCTTTTAAAAGTCGGGTTGAGGAGATGAATCTCTCCAGCTTGTACCTAAAACTAGCTGGTACCTTTTCTTCTAAGATGAATCTGCAGTGCCTTTCCTTCTACAAGAGCCACAGCAGACAACTGAAGGTGACAGTGATCAGCTGAAATCAATGTCAACTTGGTTTTTTAAAAATGTATCTTCTGCAATACTGATCTGCTAGGACTGCTTTGGGAGCTTTTTAAGGTCATTTTGGCTACCTGGATCCCAATCCATGGCCCACAAAAAAGATAAGGTGCTAATAGCTAGCTCAAGTTAGGCTAATAGAGCAATTCCCAGTGACCTGAAGGATATTAATTTATTTATGAAACAAACTCTTAGTTGCAAAAGGAGGCTGCCTGCTGCATCTCTCCCAAATTTACTCTTTTATCCTTGACTTCATTCATACTTTTTGGAGGGATGTGAAGGTCATTTGGCCAATTCTGTGTATCAGATATGATTGGATCATTCAGTTGTTCCCACTCCTACCCATAGCATTGCCTATTTCTCAAAAGAGGTTGCCTGCTACATCTCTGAATGAGTCACTTTTCTATTAAAGTGGCACATTAAAGTCAATGACTCATGTGGAAACATGGGTGGAAATTCCTAGTCTTTACACAGCCAGAAAGTATGTCTCCAATTTAAGCTGTTCAATATATTCTTTTCCCTGCCATATTATTTAGCTTGTAGGGAAAGCACCACATCATAAAACAATTAACATTTTACATATGTGTGCATGAGGAAACAGCAAAACAAGCTATTTAGTTCAGGAAAAAAGTGTGCTGCAGCAGTTATCACAAATTTGGGAACACCAGCCTAGCACTAGCATTCTTTGCTGCTTCTTTGTTTATTTCCCATTACCTTGAAAGGCCTTTGGGTCTTGGGAACAATGGCTAGGACAACTGGTAGAAGCTTCAACATAGATGCCATGGTTAACAAAAGCCAAGGACCAACCCTATCATTAAGCATTGTGAAGCAGTCACCAGATCCAAGTGGGTTTGTAGTATCACAAAAAGGCAGCAAACTGTTCATAAATTGTTCTATTGTTGTATTTTACTGGTACAGATGCCTGAGAATAGGGATTTTGGGAATGTTCCCCCATTTGTCAGAATAACCTGGCTGACTTTGGATGTTATGCACCTTGACTTGAATGTGTGATAGCAAGGCAGCAAAATGTCTTTTAAAAATATATTATCTGTTTTGTGATATTTCTATCCTGCCATTCATCCATGGAGCTCAACATGCTGTTATCTGCAGGTCTTTTCCTGCTTCACAACAAGCCTGCAAGGTAGATTGTGCTGAGAAATAGTGGCTAGCACAGAGTCATCCAGTAAGCTTCAGAGAATATTGGATGTTTGCTCTTAGCAGCAACATCCTGCAACGGAGTGCTGTATAAGTCAAAAGTTTGCTTTCAGAATTTTAGACAGATAGTCTGAAAGTTCTTTCTCCCTTACTTTCTGGAGCATCAGAGGATAATGTTCCATCTATAATTTCCCTCCTTATGTTGAGAAGAATTTGTTCGTGAGAACTCATTAGGAAGAAGGGGAAAGTGTTACAGCACACAGCTCCCTGATATATGAATGTGTTAATTCATTCTAGCTTGACTTTCTCCCCTGCAAAGGAAAATAAAAATAAATGTAATGAATACCTTGTGTAATCAAGCTTCACAGCCAGGAAGGAAAGAAAGTAAGCCATCACAGCCTGAAAGCTTAAAATGCCCCTCACTTCAGCTGGCATGATCTGCTCAGGGTGAGTTCATATAAGCAATACTAAAGATGGAGCCAGCCCTACCTTTAGGCAAAGGTGAATGCCTCAGGCAGCAAATGCTGAGGATGGTGGGGACAAGTCATCAGGCTGTTTCTACTGAACTCTCTGCTCTTTCTGTCTGCTAGAGGGTAATGCTCTATGCTAGACAAATTGCCTTGTACCCCATAAGAGTACCTTTCTGTTTCAGGTATTATGGAAAACACAGTCCCCATGCCACTATTGAAGTACAGTCAGCCCCCCACATTTGAAGCTTTGACTTTGTAGATTTGATTATTTACATATTTATTTAATATGTTCTTTCTCGGAATCTCTAAATCCTCCAGTGTGACTCTATGGTCAACATCTGCTAGAAGTTGTGCAGAGGACTTAGAGATTCCTAGAGAGAATACTTCTTTAGGCCCTCCAGCACAATTCTGCGGTTGATTTCCAGCAGAAGTTGACCACAGAGTTGCACAGGAGAACCTAGAGATTCCTATAGAGGTGTTCTTTCAGGTAAAAAAACAACAACCCACCAGTGTTTATTTATTTGTAGTTTTCCCATTTTCACAGAGGTCCTGCACCCTGGCCCCAGTGAATGTGGAGGGCCCACTGTAATCAACTTTTATAGGTATACAGGAAGATGGGACTATCTTGTCCTTTGAACAAAACCACAATACTATGGAATCCTGGGATGTATAGTTTGTTGTGGCACCAGAGCTTTTTGACAGAGCAGGCTAAATATTTCACAAAACTCCAGATCCCAGAATTCTATAGCATTGTGCCATCGCAGTTAAAGCAATATCAAACAGCATTATTTCTGCTGTGCAGATTAGACCTAAGAGTGCTCTGGCTCTCCCTGAGAATCATGGAGTTGGAGGGAACATGATGGCTTATTTGTTAAACTCTCCCTACCCCTGCCAGTTCATAAAGAGCTACAGCATCCCCAGAAGATGGTTTTCCAACCATCTGGAGGTCCGGAGATCTCTAGCAGATGAGCCTGGAGTGTCCACAATAGCTGGGGATTTCTTGGAGTTGTCAACAAGTACCATTTCCAAACTATGCTCCACCAAAGAAGAATCTGCTGAGAATAAGATTCTCTTTATATTTAAACACTTCCCCTCCTCCCCATAACTTGAGCCCATGAGATCTACTCAGCGCTAGGCAGACTGAGGCAGGTGGCAAATTGGACATGGCAACTATGGAAGGGTTAGTTATGATCCACATGGCTGAATGGACTACTTGTGTTTATTTAAATCACAGATTGTCGAGTTTAATATTGCATTGTTATAATGCCTTCTAATAAAAGCTGCTTTAGGAAATTAGTACAAGTACATAAATAGTTTAAATAAATAATATTAAAACAGATAAACACAGGACACAATCCTGTGATCTTTTTGTAACCACATGTGAATATCACTAACAAGATAAGTAGAGTCACTAAACTGGGGAAAGTGAGGAAAGTTGCGGGCATTCTTCTTCTTAATTAAGCTGTTTATTATTAAAAACACCAAAACCAACTATGACTAAACTGAGTCACATGATGGAAAGGGAGGCATTTGATCCCTACGTGGGAGCATTTGCATCGAATGTCACCTAACATTTCTAAGCAAAGAGAGGCATGAAGTGAGAAATTACTCACCAGCAAAAGCAACATCTGTAACAGTTGGCAACCCCCTTGGAAATAACCAATTCAGTATCCCCACTGAATTAGCTGCTGAGTAATTGTACGTGTGTACATATGAATATTCTGCAAAAAGCCATCAGACTAACTTTCTAGCCCCGGTAATATTTGGAAACCAAATTTCTAATTATATAACCTCATAGGCAGGACTTTATTTCTCAAGTACGTGCTGGAGCAGTGAACATTTCAGAAAGTCTTGCAGTTACATGTATGCTGGACTTTTCTGCAGAGCACATATACTTGTGTCAACAGTGGTATAATACGCTGTGTAAAAAAATAACCCAAGAGCCATCCTTAAAAGAGAATTCTTATTTCACTGTATCTCTCCAATGATCTGAGAACACAGTCTTTGCTTATTTATTGATACATCACATCTGGACAAGAATGGTTGAAGAAGTATCATAAATTTGTATGCCATGGCAAAGGTAGCATCACTGAAAAAGCTCAGTCCTCAGTTACCACTTGTCTCCATTCTGGAAAGGCAGGACTTGAAGTTGAATCTCTGCCTCAGATTTTACTAAGCAAGTGAGTTGATTTGGCAGGAAGCTGATTTGGAGAGACGCTTAGCAAAACTATAAGTTGTAATTGATTGATCCTCTAAGAAGTTTAAGGCATCATACCTACTTTCCACCATCTTTTTTTCTGCAGAGAGACAGGAACGATGGTAGTTGAAAATGAATTATTAATTATTACTGAGAACTGAGTGTGAATTTCTACATGGGTTCATCAATCTCACTACTAACATCATGTCACATTAGCTTTCATTTCTAAGAAGAAAAAAGGTGATCAAATAGAAAACTTTTCTTCTTCAGCAATTTTATTACAAGTCACACTTTTCACACTGCCTTTTTTAGCACCTCTATCCCCATTATTTCTCAAGGGGGAACATCTGACTGCAATTCCTATTAGGAACTACACACATACATACATACTACTAGTTTACTGTTTATTTCTGGGCCCAATCCAATGTGCTCACGTTCAACTGCAAAGTCCTAAATGGCAGAGCTTGGAAAAATTACTTTTGTTTGGACCACAATTCTCAGCACCCCCAAGACAGCATTGCCTTTTCCCATCTGTGTACTGGTACCTTCATTGGAGGTCCCTCCTCTTAGGCCATTAGAAAGTTGGTGTCAACTGTGTGGGAGGACCTTCATACCCTCCAACATTTCACAGATGAAAAATGGAATATGTGTGGCCAAACAACATCAGAGTGTGATCAAGATGTCTATAGTTGTTAATGAGAAAGAGCAAACAAGCTAAAAGAGCCTTCAGATGTTTGATTTTTGGCTGAGTCTATTGGAAAGGGCAAGATCCCCACCCACTCTCCTCCTCCTCCTCCTCCTCC